GTGGCTTTGCAATCCGGAAAAGGTACAGTGCCCTTTCTTCAAAGGCAGCTGAAAAGGCAGTGGACCAATGGCTTCTGGTGTGCAATGGAACAGTAGCTGAAACAGTTATTCTTCAAAGAGTAACTAAGCTGACGGAGTCTAACCTCTCAATGGTAGACTGGCACTTAATAAGAGATGAAGCCACCCACAAGCCGAGAAGAATGGGATGTGGAGAAGAATGGGATGCTGAGATGAAGCCACCCACAAGCCAGAAGATAGGCAGCCAAATTCCAAAAACACTAGGGATTTCCAGAATTTAAAATCCTGAATCATGACAGGACACTGGTAGAATTCAGGTTTATCTGGTACATGGACTGCTCTCACCAAATGTGAGGTCAAACTGTTGACCTTGTGTACATCCTACTTCACAAATGAGCCTGTCAGATACGCTAAGCCTATAGGCTGAAGATGATGCCCCAACACTGCAGAGAAACCTCGGGTGACTGTCCAGGCAGCTGGGTGTTTCTGTCAACTCACATTTTTTTGGAAGTTGTTTGTTTGCACTTCCTGTTTTTCTAGGTAATATTATTTTCTTCTTGGGTCTCTGAGGGAGTTGAAGATTAGATAGTTGTAGTTACAGTTTTCCTTGTTAAGAAATTTCAGAAAAGAAACTGAGGAGGTATAAAATGCAAACATTTGAATGACATAGGATAGTTTTCTGTTGGTAATACAAGTTAGGACAGAAAGTGAATTAGGTACATTTTGGACTCACCAAAATAGAATAGATAATGGAATATTTTCTCTGAATTTGTCAAATGCAAATGGACTAGACATTGTTGATGTATTTATTGCCTGTATATATTGTACGTAGTTATTGTACTTAGTGTATATAGTTTTTCTTAAATTAGTTTTAACTTTTTTATTCTTTTTTATTTTTATTAGACAAAAAAAGGGGAATGTAGTGATATTTTATTTGTATGTTAATAAATAATGTTTGCCTGGAGATCAGAGGTCATAGCAAGCCATAACACAAAAGTCAGGCAGTGGTAGCACACACCCTTAATCCAATCACATGGCAGGCAGGGTCTCTGTGGTCAAGGACACACTAGGGAACAGCCAAGCGTGGTGACACAGGCCTTTAATCCCAGTACCAGTCATAGAGACCTGGAGGCCTGTATAGACAGGCAGTGGCAAGGAAGTGAGGTAGCTGGACTAAGAGCCAATGAGAGGGCAGAACAGGAAGGCAATAAAAGCCTGGGCAGACAGGAAGTAGCTCTCTTGGGAAGCTACAATGGTGGGGTGAATTAAAGCTAGCTGGTGTCTCTCACTATTTCCCTGATCTCTAAGGCTTTCACCCCTATATTTGGCTCTGTGTTTCTTATTTAATAAGACAGTTTAGAAATTCATCTACAGACACCTTTATATTACTCAATATATACAAGGAAGGCAGTGTGGTTTACCATGTCCCTGCTCAAGAATTAGATCATGAACTTACTTCTAGTACACACAGAAGGATCCAGCTTCTTCTGAAATGCTGAAACACTTGCTCATCACCCTGCACCTACCTTTGTCAGGGGTTTTGCAGGAGCCTGACTATGATGCTCAGACATCCAGGACTTTGGAAATTTGAGGACATTCAATTCCTAGAGAGCCTCAGCTGTTAGAGCAAGGGAAGTCAAGGCTATCCTTGACATAAGAGGCCAATCATCAGCTCTGCAAAAATCCTTCTCATGAACTAAATTTCCTACACCCAGCCTCTTCCATGACTACTTTGGTTAATGTGAAGTCACAGATGGACTCATATGACAAGCTTACAGGTGTCACACATGTCTCTACAATGCCCAGATTCTATTCTGGACCAACCCTCATTACCATGCAATGGTTTAAAGCCTGAAGAGCAAGCAGGAAGAGAGCAGCAGGGGCGGGGTGGTGGTTCTCTCTCTCTAGTTCTAGGGATTGAACCCCAAAGCTCACACATGCTAAGCAAGTGTCTACACTTCCAAGCCCCCAAAAACATAATCTGAAGGATAATCACTCCTCTTTCAGTGTGACCACACTCCAAATCATTCTCAAATTAGAGTTTTCTTTTTTGTCTCTGACACACTTTCTGATTGAGATAAAATTCATATCATAAATTCACCCTTTGAAAACGTACACTTTCTGGGTTTCAGTATAGCCACAGCTGTGTACACGACACTACTATCTAATAACAGAGTATTTGCATAGCCTGAAAAGAGAAACTGATGCTCATTTAAGACAATTCTTCTGTGCAAGCCATTCTATACTCTCAGGCTGCTGACCCAGCCAGCAGCAATCCCTCCAAGGTATTTTTGTATTGACCTGAAAACTTAGCGGTAGCTCAGGGTAAAAGGTTGGATCGGTGGCCAGAACAGATAAACTATCACCAGCATCCACGTTTGAGAGCTGGAGGGGAAAACACCAGAAAAAAAGCAGCTGCAGGAGGCAAGTCCCGGTGTCCTAGAAATGCATTCACTTCCATGCGGAGCCCCAGGAAAGCAGATATTAAAAAGGACCGGAGCACGAGGTCAGGTGCCCTCAACTCCGGACTCCCGCTCCTACACACCTGCCCAGCCTCATCTTGCTCGTGGCACTTAACTCCCCTCAGCTTCAACTCTCCCACTTGCAAAATGTGGTAGCACCTGGGATTACGGTTAAAATGCCTTCCAGCTCTGATGGTGGTGTGACATATTTAAAAGCATAATCTCTTAGCTGAAGGACAAATAGGTCTTGATGAATTGGAAAGAGAGAGAGAGAGAGAGAGAGAGAGAGAGAGAGAGAGAGAGAGAGAGAGAGAGAGAGTCAGTCAAATCCACTGAGACTATCAGGAAGTAAATAAATGGGGAGACCAGGGGAACCAATGGGGAGGCCAGGGGAACCTGCAAGTGGAACTTTCCATTTAAAGGCAAGAGGCGCCTTAAACACCTGTAAGGCCCAAAGCATGAAGAGGTGTGGTGGGAAGACAGACGACAAGCAAGACAGACAAACAGGAAGCGTTTAGTGCTGACATTCATGTGGTGCCTTCAATACGTGGCAATGGTGAGGACATTCAGCGGTGTCCTAGGTGGTGTTACCATTGCTGATAAAACACCATGACCAGAAGCAAGTTCTCTCCAAAACTCATGCTCAAGTCTTATCTACCTTGTGAGGTAAAAGGAAGATTTAAAAAGAAAAACAAAAGAGGTGATGAGAAGTGGGGTCTTTGAGAGATGAACTATGATTAAATGAAGTAAAAGGCTGCCACCCACCACAATTTAGTTAGTTGTTTATTTGTGTATTTGTTTCCTTTCTTCCTTTTTCAAAGTTTTTTCAAGACAGGGTTTCTCTGTGTAGCTCTGGCTGTCCTAGAACTCACTCTGTAGCCCAGGCTGGCCTCGAACTCACAGAGATCCACCTGCCTCTGCCTCTGCTGGATTAAAGATATGTGCCACCACCGCCTGGCTGAAATGCAGATGTCTGAAGTGACATGATTTTAACATAATTTCTTATCGTACGTGGGTGTGGAGACTTAGTGAACCTCGTCACTCGTTCCTCTTCCCAACACGGTTACACCCATTAAACCCTTTCTCGGCTTTTCGTTGGTACTCATCTTCTTAACTAGTCCGTTGACTGAGGGCCCAGGATCTGACCCTGGACACCCTAGTAATCTAACAAGAAAGCCTTCCCGGAAGCAGCCCTGTGAACCTGGACCAGAACTAGGAACCAAAATAAGCCTCTTGTTCAAAGATAATTTACTGTGGTTTTGTGTTATACTGGCAACAGAAAATGGACTGATGTACTTCAAAAACCTTTCAAAGTGAAAAATAAATAAGCTGCATGATAGAACAGAGCATTTGGGGGAATTCCTAAATCTGAAAAACCACCTCAGAGTAACCAAGGCAACAGCAAAGTAAAACTAACTGGAAAACCAACTCTTTACTCCAGCATTAAAAAGATTGGGCGGCAACTATGATAAGAAATTATGTTAAAATGATGCCGGTGGGGCCAGCGGGGTGGACTCTACGGATGCACTTGCAGCCAAGTCTGATTATCTGAGTTTGATCCTCAGAACCTACTTGCTGAGAACCAACTGCTGCTGAACATGTTCCCTAACTTCCACATGCATGTTGAAAAATGTATGCATGCATGCATGCATACACACACACACACACACACACACACACACACACACACACACACACACAAAAAAAAACATTTTAAACGATATTAACTAGAAATAGAAAGAACTCGAGCTGTTTCACCAAATACTTTAAAACCAGCACAGAAGAGCAGCTCTGGACGTGATCTTAGAAAAGAGAGGAACAAGTGACAGACGAGCCTGTGCCCACAATCTCTCTCTCTCTCCCTCCCTCCGTCCCTCTCTGACACACACACACACACACACACACACACACACACACACACACACACACACACACACACATATTATGTCAAACAGACAGAACTAGAGATCATCATATCAAACAAAACCAGCCAGACTCAGAAAGATAACTCCCAGGTTTTTCCTCACATACAGACTCTAGGCTTCACACACAGCATGAAATCGTGAAGGGGGCAGACTATTGGGGAAGAGGACAGAGGAGGAGGCAGAGGGAGGCCATGGGGCAGTAGCAGGGTGAGGTCATGAGTAAAGGACAGTGACGGGTATGAAATGTCATAAGGGAGCCTATTATTTTGTAGGCTAATTAAAAATTTCAAAGTTCAAAATATTACAAGGTAATTTTTTTAAATTGGGATAAGAATAAATTCGTGGGCAATAAATCCACAATGGAGTATTTTTCGTCTTCCTGTGTTGCAGTGCTGGGATTGACCCAGTGCCCTGTACGTGCTAGGGAAGTGTTCTACCCCTGAGCTACAGTCCGCTCCACCAACTGGGAAAGAGCAGCTTCAAATCTACAGCCCATTCACATCCTCATATTCTGTTAGACGACATCTTCAGAGACACAGCCGGGCTCAGAGTCCTGAGTGAACCGGGATTGTGAGTAAACACCAGAGCGCTTTACCTGTGGGATGAGACGCAAATACCAGGAGTGCCACACTGGAAAAGAAGACAAAACAAGCATGAAGTGCGGCAAAGCAGCAGGGAGCCTTCTCCAGCACACCACACACCCAAAGCTGCATTCAAAACACATCCCCATCCATTTTACCAGTTATACTGCCCGAGAGAAAACTGTCTACACTCACTGGACTTTCCGCTTCAACCCAGATACCATGGGAATGAAAATCTCTCAGAAGGGCTTATGCCTTCGCAAGAGGGCCGTGCTTAGGACAAAAAGGGTTTCAGGTCCCTGCTTCGTCTATTACTTTCCTTGGCCCTGGTGGGCCCTATTATAATGTTCATTTAACGTACAATGGTTTTTTGAAAGCTAAACAAAGCAAGTTCCAAATTACAAGTAGGTTGCAATCTAAAAGCTAGCTGTTGAGTGTGAGCTAAGGATAATTTTGTCATAAGATGGGCTGTGTAGCTAAGCACTGGGCTGAGCTCTGGGAGTCCAGTTGAGGAGAGGGAGGAGGCATTGTACGAGCAAGTGGGGGGGAGGTTTCAAGATCATGATGGGGAACCCACAGAGACAGCTGACTGAGCTCGTGGGAGCTCATGGACTCTGGACCGACAGCTAGGGAGCCTGCATGGGACCGACTTAGGCCCTCTGCATGTGGGTGACAGTTGTGTAGCTTGGTCTGTTTGTGGGGCTCTGAGCAGTGGAATCAGGACCTGTCCCTGGCACTTAAGCTGGCTTTTGGGAACCTATTTCCCATGCTGGAATGCCTTGCCCAGCCTTGATGCAGGGGGAGGAGCTTAGTCCTGCCTCAACTTGATGTGTCATGCTTTGTTGACGCCCATGGGAGGCCTGCCCCTTTCTGAACAAGAGATGGAGGAGGAGGAGCGGGTGAAATGGGAGGGGGGGAGATGGGGGGAACGAGAAGAAAGGAGAGAGGGGAAACTATGGTTGGTATGTAAATAAATGAAAAAAATTAATAAAAAAAGATGAACTGTATAAAAAGTAGTTAAATTTTCAACTGATTCACAAATCTACTTATCTGCCCATTGTATAGCCGAAAACTACCTAAGCTGATGCTGGATAGAGACCAAGTGTTGAGGGATGCAAAGGAGGGAGTCTGTAATGTGGACCACATTCACTCTTGGCACTGCATCCTTTCTCTGGAAGTCTCTCCACCTCCATGCACTCCTGCTGCATAGAACCAACTGCACAGGGCCAAATCCCACCTTCTGCTGCTGCACTTAGCAAAACTCCAAGTCATCTAGGCAACTCATCTGGTTACAATGTAGGAATAAAACTTGCTGTCTAAGCTGGGCGGTGGTGCACCCCTTTAATTCCAGTGCTTCGGGGGCAGAGGTAAGCGGGTCTCTGAGTTCAAGGCCAGCCTGGTCTATAGAGTGAGTTCCAGGACAGCCAGAACTGTTACACAGAGAAACCCTGTCTCAAAAAACCAACAACAAAACAAAACTTACTGTCTAAGAGCTGGGTTTACATGTACAGGAAGGCCTGCTCAGGTCTACACCCAGGCTGTATCACAGAACAGCCCAGCATCCTGGCTTATATCAACATCTCCAAGGACAGCATCTGGGCACTTGTGATTTTCCAGACTCTTCCTCTAAAACAGAGTCAAGCTGAACCCAGGGCTTCACGATGCTAGCCCAGCACCCTGCTGATGAGCAGCATTTTAAGCCCTGTCTTGTGCTTTTGATTTTTTTTTTTTTTTTTTTTTTTTGGTTTTTCGAGACAGGGTTTCTCTGTGTAGCTTTGCACCTTTTCCTGGAACTCACTCAGTAGCCCAGGCTGGCCTCGAACTCACAGAGATCCGCCTGGCTCTGCCTCCCGAGTGCTGGGATTAAAGGCGTGCGCCACCACCACCCGGCTTTTTTTTTTTTTTTTTAATGAATATTTATTTATTTATTTGGTTTTTCAAGACAGGTTTCTCAATGTAGTTTTGGTGCCGGTCCTGTATCTTGCTCTGTAGACCAGGCTGGCCTTGAACTCACAGATATCCGTCTGGCTCTGCTTCCCAAGTGCTGGGATTAAAGGCGTGCGCCACCACCGCCCTGATTTTTTTTTTTTAATGGAATGTTCTTAGAACAGCAGAGATGGGAAGAGAAAAGGCTTATGAGAAAGTGGAAGGGATCAAGCCCTGGGTCCCATTATTCAAGAACCTATAGGTTGATAATACAGAATTTATACGTGGACACACACACACACACACACGGCACTCAGTAAATATTTCATCAAGGGGTAGGTTTTTAAAAGGTCTGCTCTTCATTGGGTATTGTATAGAGCATAATTTGTATATTAGCACATTTTTCTCTTTAGTCTTGGTAGTTTCTAATCTTAGAACTCTTAAGGGGTTTCAAGTCGTATTTTTTTTTCAGACATATTCTCACCACAAATACATTTAGAGAGGTGACTGAGTCCATCAGGACCCATATTGAGCATCAACTGCATGCCTGATGCTTGTGACCCCAAGATGAGTAAAATATGGTTCTGGTCCCCCAGGAAGACACAAGTAGGGGGTAAGGCTGGGTTTGTGAAGTTGCAAATAGGGATTAGAGAGTCAACTCTGATTTCTTTTTAACCTAGTAAGGTAATCCTGGTAGTATTTAAGGTACCAGGGCAGGTCCTAGGAGATACTTTGGGATGGAAAAGGGGTCCCCTTATCCTGCCATGGAGCAATAACTCCTGAAATTATAATCAAGTGTGTGTGTGTGTGTGTGTGTGTGTGTGTGTGTACTGCAGATTGAACCTAGTGCCTCATACATAGTTGGTAAGTTCTCTACTGCTGAGCTATAACTTCATCCCTATTTTTACTGTTGATTTTTAGAGATAAGGTCTCATTAAATTGCCCAGGCTACCCTGACCTCACTTTGTAGCCCAGGACAGACTTTGAACTTGGGATCACCCTGCCTCAGTCTCCTCAGTAGCTGACCACAAGCCTGAACCATTGTGGGCCTGGCCAGGAACTGTTCTAGTATTAGAATGAACAGTAAACAGGACAGAAAGCATCTCAGTGCTCATAGGAATATACCAGGAAGACCAAGGGGACCGTGATCTCGAAACAGTAGCCTGCATGCTTTCTGTCTCACTGAGCCACACCCCAGGGAAGGCCTGTCCCTTCCCCATTGACAGACTTGTGCATAATCTCACCTGGAGAACAAAGAAGTAGAGAATGTGTTAGCAACATCATAGTAATAAATGTTATCTTATACACTGGGGGAACTCGAGATCAGAAAGAATTTACAATACAAGGACCTCTCATCTATTACCTAAATTCTCCAAAATGCAGATAGAAGGCACATCTGTATTTAGAAGTCTCAGTTATTTTTCAGCCCTCTAGTCAACCTTTCCCTGTACTGTGGCCGGATTCATCTATCTGAAATGCACAAACGGGTTGCCCTCTCCTTATTCCTACACTGTACCTTCTCAGGGGAAGAACCATGTTTTATTTACCTCTGGTCTCAAGCATAGCAGTATAAGGCACACAGCAGATGCTCAAAATGAGTTCTGATGCAGGTACCCACCTCTAGGTGTGTTGGGAGTGGGAGTACATGGTGGGAGAGCACAGAGTGAGGGTCAGGAGCAAATGGATTCTCAATGAAGGAAGAACATCTGCCAAAGACTGAGAACCTTCCACCTAACCCATCTCCCAAAATACTGAGAGACCAAAACAAATCTCTACCCTGGCGGGCAGTGCTCCAAGCTGGCCTAGACAGGGACAAACCATAGACTGAGCAGAGTGCAGATCTCTAGACGCTGATTTCCCAGCATCAAGCAGTAGTGACCAGATGAAAAGTGGTTCTCGACAGGCAGTGGTGGCGCACGCCTTGTATCCCAGCACTCAGTGAGTTCGAGGCCAGCCTGGTCTACAGAGAAGAGTTCCAGGAGAGCCAGGGCTACACAGAGAAACCGTGTCTCAAAAAAACAAAAACAAAAAGAAAAGAAAAGTGGTTCTCACTTTGATTCAAATGTCTTCACCACTTTACTGAACAACAACAACAAAAATCTGAACAGAGTTGGGGAGTTATTGGAGTGTGCCACTGCCACAGCCAGGAAGTCCTTAGTACAGGGTCATAGGCAATAAATGTCCTCACACCTGAGGGAGGGCAAAAGGACAGAGTAAAGAGCTGAGGACCACAGAGGCAAATTTTTCCATGTTGCTATACCTCTGTTGCATGGCATATATCTTCTGTGCAGAACTACTTACTATGACCCAACATCTGAGAAATACTTTTCTTTACAGTGCTAGGGATTAAACTCAAAGCCTAGTACATGCTGGGTACTTTACCACTGAACTCTAGCCATGAGGAACATTTTGAAATACCAAGAACCATTGGCAGTTTTTCTGGAAAAATATCTTATGACTGGGGCTTTTTTTTTTTTTTTTTGACTGAGTGTAAAGGTAGCAAACCGTCATGCTTGGAGTAAATTTTACATTCATCACAGTGCTGTCGGGGCTGGAGAGCTGGCTCAGTGGTTAGTGTGTACTGCTCTTGTAGAAGACCCGAGTTCAATTCCTAGCACCCACATCAGGAGGCTCACAAACATCTGTAACTCTAAGTCCAGAAGATCTTACGTCCTCCTCTGGCCTCTGCTAGTACTTGTTTTCATACAAACACATACAACCTAATTAAAAATCAAAATACTAAAGGGTGTTTCAATAACTGCTGGGTTGAGTACAGCAGGAGCTCTCTCTGAAATGGAGCTGCTGGGAATGTTCGTCTTAAGTAACTCCATCAGAAGTCAGCACCACCAAGTGCTAAGGTACGTCCAACCCGGTCCTCTCACCACAAGTCTGCACGCGAGGCACACTCAGATCCTCAGCGGCAAGTCTCACCTTCTCAGTCTCTGCATCGGATCACCTAACGTGTTAAAGCCTAAGAACCATCCTGAGCGACAGCAGGGTGACCCATCCTCTGCTGGCTGGGGTGAGGGCGCACACAGGAGTCCATATCCCACACAGCAGGGTGACCCATCCTCTGCTGGCTGGGGTGAGGGCGCACACAGGAGTCCATATCCCACACAGCAGGGTGACCCATCCTCTGCTGGCTGGGGTGAGGGCGCACACAGGAGTCCATATCCCACACAGCAGGGTGACCCATCCTCTGCTGGCTGGGGTGAGGGCACACAGGAGTCCATAAGCCATACTTAAAAGGTTATAGATTAAGCTTCAGACCTGACTAACCACCTTAACAAACACACCATGAAAACAGCCTAAAGTCTAGATTAAGATTTAGAATCCTGAGAGTGTTGGAAGCCTCACATCAGAGGGATCTGGCCTCTAGCTCTCTGCTCTGTACCCTGGTGTGTGTGTGTGTGTGTGTGTGTGTGTGTGTGTGTGTGTGTGTGTGTGTTGGAAAGATGGGAGCCAAGACAGGAGCCAATCTCAGGACCACCTGTACAAGGAACGTACAAGTCTAGAAGCTTGTGCAGGATGCAGTCTAGAAGCAAAGGTGTGGGCACCCAGGGGGAAGGGTGGGACCCTCTGGAGCTCAAGGCCAAAGAGGCTCCTCTTGTCTGAACTAAGGACAGGACAACCATGTGAATTCTTCAGAATGTGATCCACTCACAAAATTTAAACTTGCTTTCCTAGCAGGCCAACTTGTTTCAAATTCTCTAATCAAAATATCATTGGAAAATTAAAAACTCATCTCTAAGTAAGATATACAGTATTCTTGAAAAATGTAAATTGTCTTACCTGAATATATAGTTTAAGACTGCTGGTCAATGTCACTGAGAAATTAGAAAGAGAAAAAGGTAAGACTCATAAAACAATGGAATTTTTAAATCTATAAATGGTCATTATACTCTATTAATAAATTCTACCTCCAAGTTACTGATTTCATAAATTATCAAAGGAGAAGGAGCACTTCATATTCGAGATCAATTCTTGTCATTTGACCTGAAATAACTTTTTAAATTTCACACAACTCATTGAACATGGAGAGCTGGTGCCTACGTGGAGACCTCACCCCGTGTTCTCATCTCTTTGGTGCAGGAAGGGACTCACCAAACTATGGAAAGAGAAATATGGATACCAACCCAGCCACAAAACTTTGGGCCTACATCTGTCCTGCCTTTAAAATATGCTAGGGCAATCAACGGTGGCACAGTACTTGTGGGAACAGCCAACCAATGTCTGGTTTGACTTAAGGCCCACCCCACAAAAGGGAACCCAAACCCAACACTGCTTGGGTAACCGAGAACCAGAGACTAGATAGTCCTAAAGTAAACAAATACTTAGGGTAAAACCAAACACTACTGGTCAATAGGTAGGTAGGTAGGTAGATAGAAAGAAAGAAGGAAGGAAGGAAGGAAGGAAGGAAGGAAGGAAGGAAGGAAGGAAGGAAGGAAGAAAAAGAAAGGAAGAAAGAAAGAAAGAAAGAAAGAAAGAAAGAAAGAAAGAAAGAAAGAAAGAAAGAAAGAAAGAAAGAAAGAAAGAAAGAAAGAAAGAAAGAAAGAAAGAAGGAAAGAAGGAAAGAAGGAAAGAAGGAAAGAAGGAAAGAAAGAAAGAAAAAAAGAACTGATTCCTGGTGATATTCTGCTATACTCATGAATCGATGCCTTGTCCAATCATCATTAGAGAGGCTTCCTCCAGCAGCAGATGGAGACAGATACAGAGACCCACAGCCAGACATTAGGCAGAAAGTGTCTAAATTAGAGGTCTCCATCAAATCCCTCCCCTCAGAACTTGGGAATTCCATGGAAGAGGAGGCAGAAATGCTGTAGGAGCCGGAAGGAATGGAGGACACCAGGAGAACAAGGCCCTCTCAATCAACTAACAAGGTACATATGCGCTCACAGAGACTGAGCAACAAGCCCAGGGCCCACACGGTCTGCAGCAGGTCCTCTGAGTACGTATTATAGCTATTAGCACGTGTTTTCATGACACTCCCGACTGTGAGATCGAATAGGTCTCTGATTCTGACTCTTGTGCCTGCTTTTGGGACTTTGTCCCTCCTGCTGGGTTGCTGTGTTGATATGAAAGTTTTACTAATTTTATTAATTTATTGTATTTTATTAATTTATTTATATTTTATTAATTATATTTTATTTTGTCATGTTTGTTTGTTATCTCTTAGAAGCCTGTTCCTTTCTAATGAGAGAGAGAAAAGGATCCAGAGGGAAGAGCAGAGAAACTATAACCAGGATATAATGCATGAGAAAAGAATCTCATGCAATCTTTCAATGAAAGAAAGAAAGAAAGAAAGAAAGAAAGAAAGAAAGAAAGAGAGAGAGAGAGAGAAGAAAGAAAGAAAGAAAGAAAGAAAGAAAGAAAGAAAGAAAGAAAGAGAGAAAGAAGGAAGGAAGGAAGGGAGGGAGGGAGAGAGGAGGGAAGAAGGAAGGAAGGAAGGAAGGAAGGAAGGAAGGAAGAGAAAATTAGATTACTGACATGATAAAACTGAAAAAAATAACCCACAAACAGACAAAACACCCAACTCATTTCAGGATCAAACAAAAAAAATATATCCTTATTTCAAGTTAGTTATCCAAGTAAGTAAAGAAGAAACCAGCTCCCCCAACTAGACGTTGGGTTAGCATGGCGAAGCCCACCGCAGCAGCCGACATGCAGTTGACTGTCAAAGAGGCAGGAAATGCGGGATCGATGGCCCGTTCCTCCGGAACCGTCTCCAGTTAGTGCGAACACTCCTCACCTGGCCAGCTGCTTCCCACCTACGCGCGGCTACTTTCAAAGGACTGTCAGCTATCAGCTCTACTGACTGTCTTGTTCCACGGGATGCACTGGCTTCCAGGGCTGGCATCCTTAGCAGATACAGATCCAGGGCCAGTGAGGTGGCGCAGCTGGTATTGCTGTTCTGAGCCCCTCAGTTTGCTCTCTAGGAACTGACTCCCCAAAGCTGTCTTCTCACCTACATACAAACCACGGCACGAGCACACTTCACATATGCACACCATACACACGATAATGTTTCTTTTTTAAAATCAAGAATATGCAAATAAATTCAAAATTCAGCTAAAAACTTCTATCTCGGTGTATGCTCTAACTCCACATGGTACACACTTAAACCATAAGAGCCATGTGCTATTCATCCCACCTCAGGTTTAAGTGGGCATCGTGCACTTTGATGTGGCTCTGTTCTTTTCTGTGACATGGTTTCTCTCTGGAGCCTAGTCAAGCCTTGAGCTCTAGATCCTCCTGCCAAAGAGGAATTCACAGGTATTCACAACCACACCTGGCTCTGCTGGCTTCTGGTTGCAAAAATACTTCATTTAAAGAAGAAAAGGCAATCCAAGAAGTACAAGTCACAGGGACAGGGCCTTGGCTTGGGAGTCATCCCCTCTGGGCCTGCAGACATGCCCACACCCAGAGGCCAGCTGGTCAGTCTCAAGCCCCAGCTCAGTGCAGACAAGAATTCTTTCCTTTCCTTTTTTTTTTAATTTTAATTTTTTAAATTTTACATTCACCAAGGCTGTTTCATTGGCTACCTATAACAAAGACTGGGAACTAGGGAGACTTCCAGATATAAACGGAGTCAAATTTTAGGGCCAGTGAAAATAAGAACACAGAAGTTGCCCTTCTGAGCTAGGTGCAGTCAAGTACACCCTGAACAACTAGAGATATGGGCATTTAAATTAAATTATCACCTAAATGGCCCTGCCTGAAGGGGAGGGAACTTCCTTGGCTCTGCACACATTGCTAAAGGTAGTTGACAAGAGGTAAGTGGCCCAATTGGCAACAAGAGGGATGGCAGCCATCTGCTCTCCTAGCTGCAATGGCTTACAGGGAAGACTGTATCACACACAGGTCTCATCTCTTTAGCCAGCCAGCTCCCCAAACATTAAGAGCTTACCTTAACACGCTGGGCTTCTGGGATTTCCGAAGTATTTTGTAAGCCCCTAGATATGAAAGGACACAAGTCATTGGCACTTTCTGTTTAAAGAGCTGCCCACACTTCCAGGAAAGCAGAAAAATTCACAGGGAAAAGGCAGCTGGGCCCCAGACCCCAAAAGAGTGCTGGCCCCTTTGTCCCTATTGTCCCTATTTTGTTAATCCCAAGATGAGGAGAAAGACCACCGACCCAAATCATCACGGCCAAATTAATTAAAGCGGGCTGCCTCCCCCTAAGGAGGGCTTGAGAGGTCAGTACTGGACATGAGGAAGACAAGGTTTTTATAGCTCAGTGGTAGGGAGTTTCTAAATGGGGGATTTGGTGGGTAAAGTAGGCAGGATTACAGGAGCAGAACATAAGCACAACAAGTTAGCCATAACACCTTGTGAAACAAGGACATGAGTGCAGGGTGGTCATAACACAGGTAGTCAGAACAACCCTTTTGAAACAAAGGTAGGGTTGCAAGATGGTTAACTTTTTGAAACAAAGACATAGTTGCCATTCCTGGAACATGCAGTACAGAACCATTTGTAGTTAAGGTCACAAGTGGGTCGAAGCCCAATGCTTGAGAAACAGAGGTTTGATCATAAACAGGAATGAGCCTAGTTGTCTTTACTAGAAGATGCTTTCAAGCCTATGATGGAGGCAGGTTGGTTCTTCAGTTTCACAGGGAAAGGCCCGGAAGGGGCGCTGCCCTTCTCCCTGCCTCACACACTGACAGGAGGGAGCAAACAGGAGGGCTGCAGGCCTGCAAATCCTGTGATAACGTCAGGCACTTCAGCCGGCAGGAAGCACTTGGCCGGGAGTGACCAGGTGGCACTGTTAACAGTCAGTTTCATTTCCTTCCCATGATGCTTGTGGAGAAGGGAAAACCCTGAGATTTCTGATTGCATCAAAGTCAAATAAGAAACACTGAACTCAGGATCTGAAGGAAAATCAGATTGTTTTTTAATTTCACGCTTTGTTTTTTTTTGTTTGCTACTGGAAGAATTTTAGACATGACATTCTGAATGTCTCTCAGGAAGCCTTTATGTCCATAAATGAGCTCCAGGTGGACGATACAGAAGGATTTACAATGGTTTAGATAAAGCAGGCATTCTTTCCTAACCTTGTGAACAGGTTCTCCATCCTCAAAAGGAGTCCTTCCTTAAATCTGCGTCTGCCCACCCCTGAGCCAGCACTTACTTTCCGCTACGCTTGACCTCTCCACATCTCTGCTATTCTCTCTTGCTCTCCCGAGTCCCGAGCTCTGGCTATGTCCAACCTGCTTCCTTTCTCTCTGTTCTGGACTCTCCCAGATGCCTCTGAATATTTTCTCTTCCTTACCCACAATAGCAAGCTTGCCCCTGATGGAGCAGTCACATCAGTAGTTTCTTTACTGAGTCCCCTCGCATACATTGAGTCCACATTTTTATGGAAGAGCAACTAACATTACCAGCAAAATCCAAAGCAAGGAGAGTTGGGCACAAAGGAGAAATTATGTTGAAAATGGAAATATCTGAGGAAAAGCCCAAAGTAGAAAAAAAAATCTGGAAAATGTCCATTTAAACTTGAACCTTAATATCTTAATTTCCCTATTGCATAGAGTCACTATAAAATGGCTACACAGCGAGAGCTGAAGGACAGTCCTCAATTATTTAAGGAAAACACTTTTAAAAACTTACCTACACAAAATAAGTGAATTACAGCCCAAAAATAGCCATCTGGATCAAACTGTAACACAGAATTAAAAAGGAAAGGAAAAGCTAAATTACAGACAAACAGAAATTTGTACAGCAATCAGGAACCAGGTGAACACACGAGCCAAAGGCTCCAGAGAACCTTCCCAGGGCCTACAATCAGTTCATTTCCCCAAACATCTTCCTGGGTTCTCCAGTGTCCCCTCTGCCCTCCCCCAATGTGTTCAACTATAAACTTATGACATCCAAACACCTGTATGATTGTTGTGGTAAGGAATGGGATCTCTCTCTAGGTGGAAACATGCCATTGTCTCCTCTCTTAAGAGATAAACTGGTTGGTGGGTCCAAGACCTGGCAGGAACTATCCACAGAAATGCAGGACCACTCCAGGAAAGCTGGCTCGCCTTAAAACACGCTAAAGAGACAAACGGAATAAGTATCCTTCTAATGAGATACTGACTTGACTTCCCAGAATTCTCACTCGCAGCACAGTCCCTACTGGTAATAATGGGGTTCAGCTGTGTCCACCTTTCTAACTCAGAAAGATGTTGTGGTGGTTTGAATGTGATTGGCCCCCATAAGCTCACAGGGAGTGGCACTATTAGTTGTGGCCTTGTTGGAGTGGTGTGGCCTTGTTGGAGGAAGTGCTCCACTGTGGGGGCAGGCTTGGAGTTCTCCTATGCTCAAGCCACTCCCAAAGTCAGAGACCATTCCTATTGCCTGCAAAATGTCTGCCTACGCTCTGCCAAGTCCCACCGTAATGGACTGACCTCTGAACTGTAAGCGAGCCACCCTAATTAAATGTTTTCCTTTTTAAGAGTTGCTGTGGTCTTGGTGTCTCTTCACAGCAATAGAAATGCTAAGTAAGACAGATGCAAATTAAGTAAGACAGATGCAAATTTTTTTCTTTTTCTATCTTTCTTCCAGATGCTGGCCAGAACCTACATGTGCTTTTTCTGACACTTTGGGTCTCCTAAGTCTTTAACGGATTGCTCCTCCTCAGCCATGGTGGCTGCCTGCCACCCTGTGGCTGACCTCCACACCAGCCAGCTTAACTTAAAAGGCGTGGCTCCCTGCCCCGCTTCTCTCCGGTATTCTCTCCAGCTGCTGAGATTCATAGCTTAACTCTAATAAAGTTGTCCTCCAGTTTCTGTTTGAGTTCACTCCTAATTTTTTTTATTAATAAAACTAAGAACCCCAAAGGGAAACCCTGATTCCCTAAGTACCATCTGGTGACCACGAAGGGACTCCCCGAAACTCAGAGACAGGACAAGCACATCTTCAGTCACATCTACAGCTTCCCAACCTGGAGAACAAGGACATGCTGCATTTTCCCAAGCCTGAATGCCTCCCCTTCAACTCAGCCAAGGAGACTCCATCCTCCCTCTGTATTTACTAATTTTCTTTGGCAATAGAACCCAGGGCATTCCACATGGCAGACAAGCAGTCTCACTGCCCCACCTCACCGACTCCTTCCTTTCCTCTTTACTGTTAGTCTCTACAGGACTTACCATCACCAAACACACTCGTTTCCTTATTCTCTGCTTCTCTCTCTCTGCATGAGGCAGGGATCAGAACAGACTAGACACACTATAGGTCTGACATGATGGTAAATCCCAGAATAGCCATACCTCACCCGAGTCGCCCTGCCTTCTCTCCTGTTAACCCCCCCATTCTTCTGTAGTTAAGCACGGTCAGGAGAGGCCTGCTCCAGCATCACAAAGCTCTGGATAAATTTCTAAAACACACACTTACCAGCTGATTTGGACCACACTAACTCTTTGATTATAAATAGGGCCCCTAAGCCTCGTAGGTGCTTCCCAACCTTAATGTCTCCCTGGCAGATCCCTGGCTTCCCCATGTTATAATGATCTGTTGCCTTGGCCTGTTCCCCTCTCCTTTGCTCTACATGGCCTCCGATTTCTGCTGGAACAGACTAATGTTTGTATTCCTGGATCCCAGCTCAGTGCCTGACACTTGGTAGAGTCTTGAGAATGCCAGAGGAGAAAGGAAGAAAGGTAAGTAAGACAGAAAAAACTAGCAATGAGGTGATTACTAGGGCTGAAAGGGGCCCCTCAGTGCCTCAGAAGATAAAGAGCCTGGGCACAGGATGCCAGTGAAAACACCCTGCAGAAGAAGTCTTAAAAGGGATGAGAAGAAAAAGCAACTTTGATTGAGCACCCAAGGTTGGGGTGACCGAGGCATGGGATCACAGGTTCCTGAGGCAGGTCAGACCGCACACCTCCAGGAACCACTGTCTAAGGCCTGGAGAAAGGATAAGCTGGGCCACGAGGTAGCCAGCCTCATCGCTTTTGAGCAACTTTGCTAGGCCAGGCTATCGTGGTTCAAAAAGAAAGGCATAGAAACACTGCACATCGACGTGAGCTGCAAGAGTCTTGACAGTACTGTGAGTTCGCTGGACTTACCTGCGCATCCTGGAAGGGAAGGCACCCTGCAGCAGCCACGAGGAAGAGGGCACTGTGGACAGGCAGACACAACAGGCAACTTCAGCTTTCAACACCAAAGCACATCTCAGAGAGGGAGTCGGGGAGGGTAGAAACGCACCGCCCACTGGAACTTACAAGTGGCCAGCGACTCTAAAGCACCCGGCTGCCCTGACCATCATCTCACAGCCATGAGGGTAGAAACGCACCGCCCACTGGGACTTACAAGTGGCCAGCGACTCTAAAGCACCCGGCTGCCCTGACCATCATCTCACAGCGAAGAGCTCCCCCGACAGCCAGGCAGTTCCTCCTCAGTAGCTCAGCTAGCCTGTTCCTGAAGCCCAGAATTCAGAGCACCTGAAAACTAGGGTTGGCTCACTCCAAAAATCTTCCTGCTCACCATCAATCCCCCAGATGGGAAAGAGGCAAACTGGGAGATCAGACCACAACCAGGCCAATGACTAAATGAATGCAGCATGGAAAGAGCATCGTGTTGTCCACCGCCACTTTGTCTAAGATCTCAATATCTCTAATAACAGGGCATAGTCGTCACGTGCTTCTTGATGAGATGCCCTCAGGACACAGCATCGAGTCCATGGTACCTCTGTCTTAGGTGCTTTGAACTGAGTCATGAGGAAATAATACAATAAACCCAAACTTGGGCACAATCCACAAACAGGCTGGGACCTTCACAAACGTGGAGACCCAAAGGCACTTGTCACCAAGCCTGATGACCTGAGTTTAATTCCTGGTCCACACGTGGTGGAAGGAAAGAACCAACCCCAGTAAGCTGTCCTTTGACCTCCACATATCACACACACTGTGGCACAAGCGCGCGCGCGCACACACACACACACACACACACACACACACACACACACACACACCACCCACCACCCACAACAAATAACTGTAGTTTTAAAAACGTTTAATGGGAAGGCAAATTAAAAAAGAAACTACACAGAAAGGCCGAGGAACTGACCAAGATTAAGGGCTATGCAAGACACACACCGTCCTGGAGGGGAACGTTTTCTCAGTAATGGGGCCTGGCCCTATGGTCTCCTGCATGCTAGGCAAGGGCACCACTGCTGGGGGATGTCTTTCTGTACACTGTGAATATATGCTGTTCCCATTGGTTAATAAATAAGCTGCTTTAGCCTACGGCAAGGCAGCTTAGAGGCAGGTGGGAAATCCAAGGAGAGAGACAGGAAGGAGAAAGACGGAGTCTGGGGAGATGCCCACACTGTCAGGAGAGAGATGTCAGCCTGTTGCCCAAGGAGCAACATGCCAGCAGACCTGTAAGCCACGGAACACATGGCAAAACATAGATTAATAGAAATGGGTTAATTTAAGATATAAGAGCTAGCCAGCAAGAGGCCATACAGTTTGTAATAACATTAAGCCTATGAGTGATTATTTTATAAGCAGCTGTGGGATGGCGGGCTGGGTGGGACCGGAGAAAACTTCCAGCTACACACCACCTTGAGTTATATCAGCCCTGATTTTACTATTTATCATGAGAGAGGATCTCACAACCTTGCCAAGCTGACTTTGAACTTGCAATTCTCGTGCCTCAGCCTTCTGAGAAGCCGGCATTACAGGGTTTTCTGTTCCACCATACCTGGCTTTCAGGAGATATTTACATATGGCATTATAAGGCATCTTATACCAATATGTTATTACGTATGGAATTCTATATTCTATATATAGATCACATGCATATAGACATGTCCAACACACACACACCATGTAATATACACACCCTGAGAGTCACAACCTCAGTACACTGGAAACAGTGATGCTGATTCATCCCAATGGCCCTCCCTGCCATAACATGTGGCTGTGGACTGACTGTACCCAGACTTGCTGTTAGGGCCCTAGGCAGGAGGCGCTGAGCACCCCTCATGGTCAGGCCCTACCTTTGTGAGGGTCAGAACATAGGCCAGCCTGTGCCCAGAAGCCTTTCAGTCCACCCTCCTCTGACAGCCATGGTGACTTTATTGTGTCCTAGAGGACAATGAAGGCAGAGAGGGATGAGCAGGGTCACCGTGAGGAGCTTCCTGGGCCGCACAGGCTGGTTTTAGTGAGGAGGAGATTATGGATGGGCTCAGGGGCTCCCTCGAGTGGAAGACCAGCTAGAATCTACAATGCCTTCCCACACCGGATGAGCAGGACGGGGACATCAGGGGGAGACTGGACTGGCTGCCACAGCACGTGCCCTCGAGCCACACTGACTACACCGGGTAACCACTAACAGAGCACTAAGCTTTTCACAGCAGCTGACCTCCTTTTAAAGAGGAGGACGGGGCTAAGGCTTTGTTTACATCTTTTTCTTACAAGTTGCAACCTGAACTAAAGGCCAAGGAGGATGAGGGGGATTGGATGGGATGAAAGCCCAGAAATATATCACAACACCTAACCCACCTTATCAAAGCAGCTCCATTGGTGTCCTGCCTTCAGCAGGGGGCTTCTTAGTCACTGCTGAGGGAGGGGGCAGTCCAGCAGCTGAACACTGTTACAACAAGGACATGGAGGTACAGGGACCTGGGACATACTCTGCTGAGGACACTGGGACACTGTCTATGATCACAGCCCAGAACCACAATTCAGACCCTGGGATGCACTTTTATCGTTATGGAAAGTCACAGAGATCCAATGTGCTAGCTAGTTTATGTCAGCTTTACACAAGCTAGTGTCATCTGAAAGGAGGGAACCTCAGTTGAGAGAATGCCTCCATAAGATCCAGTAACAGCTCTGGCTGTCCTGGAACTCACTTTGTAGATCCATCTGCCTCTGCCTCCTGAGTACTAGAATTAAGGCATTTGGTAAAATAAGGCATTTTCTTAATTAGTGATTAATGGGGGAGGGCCCAGCCCACTGTGGGTGGTGTCATCCCTGGGCTGGTGGTCCTGGATTCTGTAAGAAAGCAGGCTGAGCAAGCCATGAGGAGAAAGTCAGTAAGCAGCTCCCCTCCATGGCCTCTGCATCTCCTCCTGCCTCCCGGTCCCTGCCCTGCATGAGTTCCTGTCCTGACTTCCTTTGATGATGAACTGTGATGTGGAAGAGTAAGCTGAATAAACCATTTCCTCCCTAACTAGCTTGCTGGTCACACAGTGTTTCATTGCAGCAATAGAAACCCTAACTTAGACACCCAATGATGCAAATAATATTTTATGTGTGCACACACAGATTCATGGGGGAGGAGGTGCACATGCATGTTCTGGCTAGTGTTCATGCCTCAGGAATGATCACTTTGTTGGTTTTTTTAATTTATTTTATTCATATGAGTGCTTGGCCTGCATGTATGTTTGTGCAACAGACGCATGCCTGGTGCCTGAGGAAGTGGTGAGCCTCCATGTACGTGCTGGGAATTGAACCCAGGTCCTTCACAAGTGCTAACAAGTGCTCTTAACCACTGGGCCAACTCTCAAGGCCAGATCCACTTTGTTTTGTGAAACAGGGTCTCAAAACCATGTCTTCTCCATTGCATCACACCTGGAATTGCAAGCATCTGCCCCCCCCCCCAACTGGGATTTTCCAGTGGGAGCTGGGGATTGAACAAGGGCATCATGCTCGTGTGCTAAGCACCATTAACTGAGCCATCCCACCACCACCCCCTCTGTTTTGTTTTGTTTTTCAGATTTTAAGTTGTTTCCACATTTTTGACTTGGTTCTCCATCACTACTACTGCACAACTAGTGAAGTTTTGTGGACTCAGTGTAGAAATATAACATGGGTGTTTCTTCCCCTCAGAAGAAAGTATTGCACCCCATTAATCCCAGCACTCAGGAGGCAGAGGCAGGTGAATCTCTGTGAGTTCAAGGCCAGCCTGGTCTACAGAGTGAGAAAAACCCTGTCTTGCAAAAAGAGAATAATTTTAAAAATAGGAAACAAAGCACAAATATATGACCATTCATAATAAATTCCTCCTTCAACAGTTTACCAGCTTAGTTAAACTCAGGTCAAATCTTACATCCTTGGGGTGTTTTCTTTTAACTTACCTACAGATCTTTGTGGGCGATGTTTTCTGTATGAAAGTGAAAAGACATAATTAATTAGTCTTTCAAAACTCTTTAATTCCCTTGAAAAAAATTAGATTAAAAAGCAAATAAATTATTAAGTCAATTTTTTTAGTGGGATTAAGAGCTCACTGCCAGAGGCTGGAGAGATGGTTCAGCAGTTAAGAGCTCTGGCTGCTCTCCCAAAGGTCCCTAGTTCAATTCCCAGCACCCACATGATGGCTTGTAACGACCTATAACTGTAGTCCCATGGCATCCGATGCCCTTTTCTGGGGGGGCGTGCATGCAGACAAAACTTCCACCTACATGAAATACATAAATAAATCAACCTTTTTCCATTTACAGAGGGCTTGCCGCCATAGAGGTCGTGCTGCCTCCTGCTGCCTCCTGCCGCTTGGACCAAAGAATGACTTGGGCCACGGCATTTGCTTATGAACAACAAGATGATGTCGCTGCCAATTTTCAAATCTTACACACCCATCCAAGGACACAGAGAGAAGTCAATGTGATCTACATGGGAAAGGAAACTAACCTCTAGTTCAACTTCTAGCCTCTATGTATGTATTCATTTATTTACTGATTTTTTAAAAAATACTTATTTGCTATTTAAGTGTCTGTGTGTCTGTGTGACTTTACATGCACCATATACATGCAGATGCCCACAGAAGCCAGAAGAGGGCATCAGATCTCCTAGAACTGGAACTACAAGGTGATTGTAAGACACTCAGTGTGGGTGCTGGGAACCGAACCCAGGTCCTCTGCAAAGTTAACAGGTGATCTAAACCTCTAAGCCATATCTCCAGTCCCTTATTTAATGATTGTGGGGAGGGGATTGGTCTTGCTATGTTTCCCAGACTGTACTTGAACTCCTAAACTCAAGTGATCCTCCTGCCTCAGTCTCTTGTGTAGCTGTAACTACAGGCATGCAACATTGTACATAGCTACACCTGTGTCTCTCTAAATATCCCTTTCATTCATCCAGCTCTGACTCTTAGCAATGTTATACATTTTCTGGTCTATAAAAAGTAAACAGAAGCCAGGCAGTGGTGGCGCACGCCTTTAACCCCAGCACTCGGGAAGCAGAGCCAGGCGGATCTCTGTGAGTTCCAGGCCAGCCTGGTCTCCAAAGTGAGTTCCAGGAAAGGCGCAAAGCTACACAGAGAAACCCTGTCTTGAAAAACCAAAAAAAAAAAAAAAAAGTAAACAGAAGCCAGGCGATGGTGGCACACACCTTTAATCCCAGCACTCGGGAGGCAGAGCCAGGTGGATCTCTGTGAGTTTGAGGCGAGCCTGGGCTACAGAGTGAGATCCAGGACAGGCACCAAAACTACACAGAGAAATCCTGTCTCAAAAAACCACACACACAAAAAAAAAAGTAAACAGAAATGAGGATAAGGGGCATTTTATCTCACCCTCAGAGCGAAGGAAAAAAACAGCAGATTGGGAGAATATAATCGGGCATTTAAAATGCCTTGAAATAAAGAACGTCTAACCTGGCCTCTTCTCTTAGTCTTTTTAGTCATATCAAGTAAATTAACCCTTGGCACAGAAGAATGAAGTTTTACAAGAGTCACACCGATTTTTCTGTTTGATGGTGAAATGGGCAGGAAGAACGACAGCTTAATTCTGGATACTTCAGGATCGTTCTACTATCTGGACAAACTACAATTTCTCACCCCTATTCAGATACTATGTTGCTAAGAAGTACAGGGCTGAAGCCAGGCAACAGTAGCACACACCCGTCATCCCAGCCCTCCAGAGCCCAAGGCAGGAGAATAATGAGTTCAAGGCCAACGCTGGCTACAGAGTAAGTTCCAAACTAGCCAGTTCCAGGGCAGTCTGTCTCAGAGAGAGAGAGAGAGGGGGGGGGGGGGGAGGGAGAGGGAGGGAGGGAGGGAGGGAGAGGGAGGGAGGGAGGGAGGGAGGGAGGGAGAGAGAGGAAGAGAGAGAGGGAGAGAGAGAGAGGGAGGGAGAGAGAGAGGGAGAGGGAGGGAGGGAGGGAGGGAGGGAGGGAGGGAGGGAGGGACAGAGAGAGAGAGAGAGAAAGAGAGAAAGAGCTGACAAAAGAAACATGTGGTCTGCTCTCCAGGATACCTTAAGTTTTCACGTGTTGAAAAATAATCAAGTTTTTGTTCTTTCAATAAGCAGCTTCTATCGAGTCCAGAGCTGTGACTTATCTCTTTGGGATCTTCTGAACATGGGAAACAAGGCAAGCATGGCTGTGCTGCCCCCTAGTGGGCACAGTGCCTGTGCTCTAAGACCTGCATCCTCGCCCCTGTTACTGTAAAATGTGCTGTCTTTCAAGCTGTATTAGAAGCTAAATAGAGTGGAAACCTCACAAGTGTGGCTAAAAGCAAGCTCAAGGGCAGAGGTTGTGGGCCCGGCTCCCTTCGCTATGAATAACATGTCTACCCAGCAGCCACTGCAGGGCTCACGACACAGAACAGTGCAGCTACCCAGTCCCTAAGAGTTCAGCCTCTCAGGGCAGTCTTTCTTAATTAAATTTATTTTTTTCATTTTATCTATTTTGGGTTTTGTTTTGTTTGGCACAGGGTCTCATGGACCCCAGGCTGGCCTTGAACTCACTCACCTTCCAGTGCTGGGATTCAGGAGTGCACCACCACACCCAGCTATTTTATTTTCATGAGACATACTCTATATCTCAGGCTGGCCTGGAACTCACTATGTAGCTCAAGCTGGTCTTGAACTCAATATAATTCCCCTGCCTCAGCCTCCTTAGAACTGGGATTACAGGTATAAGCTACCAGGTCCAGATCTTTCTAAACTTTCAAACCCTTTCAGACAGACTAAAGAAGCTGAGAGACAGAGTGAGGACACTTTAAAGCTCACTACACAGCTCTGTTCCCCAGGGCTCTAGGACAACCAGGACCTTACTGTGTGGCATTCTCATTTCCGGACTTTGCTCCAGAAATAAGCCCTCCCAATAATATCTCAGGGTCCGGGGTTGCAAAAAGCAACTCCTCCTCGGAAGTCATATTTCTGGCTGAGTGTGGCACAGGCCTGTAATCCCAGCCCTTGACTGAGACAGGAGGACTGCAAGGTCAAGGCCAGCCAGAACTACACAGTGAGAAACACTCGCATGACAACAATTATAATAAGGGCTAAAATCACTCTGGATTAGCTCATTTCCTGCAAACACTGCTCAGTGTGTGCTGGGCTTTACCTGCATTGTCTGGTATAATGATGGGTCAACAGCCAAGACATGAAGGAAATCAGGGGAGAGGTTGTCCAAGGTCTTGGGGGTTTGGGCTCAGCATTCTGGTTCCACACCGGACCCTTTAGTGCCACAGCCTGCCTGCCAGTCCTTCAGTGACAGCCTCTCTGACCTTAAGCCACCTGAAGTGTCCTTTCTTCTCTTGTTCAATAGAAACCCCACCCATCCCATGTAGCTCAACTCCAATCTAGCCCTGGAGAGGCCTCCCTGTGGTCACTGGTCCCCGCACCCAGCTGCAGCCCACATATGATTGTGCGGGCTCCACAGACCACGTATTAACGTCAGCTCTTCCCTACTCAGCAGCACATACCGGCACATACCGGCACATACCGGCAGTGAGGCCAATCCCACAAGCCACCGTTACCTTAGAGTCAGACTCTGCGTGGGATGAGGGGAGGGCAGCAGAGAGAACATATAGAACTCCCTGTGGGTGGTGCAGCGTGAACTGCAGCCTCTCCATCAAGTTAACTCTCATAATCTGGGAGTCAATTTTACTCTCCAGAATTTATAAATTTATACATAATGGTAATTTTGTATCGCTATACATAAAATTTATACATAATAGTAAAGTTTATATATAATGGTAAAGCCAAGTCTCATAACGTTTAACATTTATTTATTATGTACAGTGTTCTGCTTGCATGTGTGCCTACTCACCAGAAGAGGGCACCAGATCTCATTACAGATGGTTGTGAGCCACCATGTGGTTGCTGGGAACTGAACTCAGGGCCTCTAGAAGAGCAGCCAGCAGCCAGTTCTCTTAACCTCTGAGCCGTCCCCCAGCTTTTGACATTTATTATTAGTCGTGGGGGTGGGGTGCGCATCAGCAGTCAGTTCTCTTCTCCACCGTGTGGGTTCCAGGAGTCAAACCTGGTTGTACAGCTTGGAGGCAAGCCCCTTACCCAGTGAGCCACCTCACCGGCCCTCGCTGTGACATCTGAGCATGTGTGAGGGAGGGAGCAACTGTGTTCCTCATGAAAATATACACCCCCAGGTTCTCAGCTGTGGGTCTGAGACGTGAGTTACATTAAGAACATATCCCACACCAAGGAGGTGGAATTTCAGGTTCCAGGCTAGCCTGGGCTACAGAGTGAGACCTTGCCTCAAGAGTACCAGATGTGCTGGTACAGACCTGGAGTCCCTGAACTGTGGAAACAGAAGCACAAGGCCCAAGAGTACAAGGCCTAGTGCTTAGGAGGCAGAGGCAGGAAGATCTCCGTGGTCCAAGGCCAGCATTGGTCTACATAGTGAGTTCCAGACTAGCCAGGGCTACAAAGTGAGGCCCTGATTTAAAAAAAAAATCAACAAAAATGAACAAACAGAAACCTAGACATCTTCATCTCAGAAAAGATTTTAATGACAAGCTGCTAAAAAACCACCTACATGTGAGCAAACAGACTAGCCACACACACTTCATCCAACACGAACAGCAACAGCAGTTGGGTGCCTGAGACTTGTTCGATGAAAAGGCCATTGTGTCAGTACGTCTGTATACGTGCAAAGAAAATGTCTGTAAAAACAGGTTTTTCCAGAGTTTTTTCCCTTTGAATTTTTCTAAAGCTACTTATATATCGTACTACATTCACTATGGAGAGAGGTTGTTTTGGATTTTCTTGAGACAGGGTCTCACATATCCCTATATAGCCAAGTATGACCTTGAACTTCTGATCCACTTGACAAGTGTGAGGATTATAGGCTCCTGCGACCATACCCAGAGCTTCACACGTGCTGGGTAAGGACACCACCAGCTGAGTTCTGTCCCCGGCCAAAGGTGTTCTGGAATGACTAAAATTCTCACCCACTTGCTTCCCAACTTACTCCGCCAAGAACTGATGTTAGCCAGGTGCAATCGCACACACCTAAGAATCAGGAGTTTCAAGGTCGTCCTCAGTTATGCAGTGAGTTAAAGGTCGGAAGTAGCCTGGGCTACATGATACCCCATCTCAAGGGGAAAGAAAGAAATGATTTGTTGGTTTGTGTGACTAATGAAATAGAGTTGAAGACTAAACATTTCGTGTTCACTAGTTACCATCATTAACCCTTCCAGCCAGAAGTCTGGTCCTAATTTGCAAGTAAAGAAGCATCTCCTGGTGGACAGAAAACTCCAGGTTACTCTCTCACCTGACTTGATTCTTACCCCTGACCAACTAGGAGGCAGAACTGTGGAAGTGCTAGTCTTCATTTCTAAACTCACAGCTAAAAGTATGGGTGGTGTGAGTCAGTCCGCCAAATCTGAGCAGCTGAACTTGAACCTCAGAGGAGAAAGTGACTAACCAGAAGCCCTGGAGCTTGCTCCTGGGGTTACAAAGATGTTCATCATGTGGTTCTGCTCTAGGGGAAGGGGAGTCAAAGGAAGCCACCTAGGGATACAGAGAAAATAATGTCCTGTCACCAAACATAAGAACAGAGAGAGAGAGAGAGAGAGAGAGAGAGAGAGAGAGAGAGAGAGAAAGGGATTGGTAATTCCATTTTATAATTCTATAATTCTAGCACTCCAGAGGCTGAGGCAGGAGTATTTGCAGCCAGCCTGTGCTACATGGTGAAACCCTGTCTCAGCAACAACAAAAGGTCCATATAAAGTTTCACCTTATTCTACGTATTCAAAGAAAGTCACACCAAAGTCCATCCGATTATAAGAGCCTCTAATTCTAGGTGGTGAGAATGGGGTGCTGGGGGAAGAGGGAGTGTGAGAACTGAGGCGATATGGAAAGCACATGGTGATGTCAGAGAAATGTCCTCCTCTGAGCCCAAGGAGAAAGGCTGAAAATGAGAAGAGGCAGTCACCCCTCTTCTACTCTGGGACAGCCTCAGAAAAACCGACGCAGGCCCTGCCTGGCTGTCCTGGGAGCCTGCACATTGAGTTCCCATTCATTAGTCCTCAGCCAGCTACACCAGGACAGAGACAAGGACCGATGAGTGGCCACAGCGGGGGAGTGAGAGGGGACAGGATGTGAGTGGAAGAAGACGGTCCCGAGGTCTGAACTCAGATGATGATTCCCCAGTGAGAGTCAGGTCTTCCGATGCTTTGGGGTCACCCAGAGGTTCTGCTGGGGCTCTGAGCCCAAAGAGAGCAAGGCTGGAGTAGACAGAAGGTGAAGGGGGCAGAGGTGTGGGCATAAGGACAGAAGATCCTGAGACACTGCCCTGGCAAACAATGAAAAAGCAGATGAAGGATAAAGAGGCCAGGTTGTGAGAGGAAAGTCTGACAGGGGGTGGAGGGGGGGTCATGAAGGCCAAGGGGTCAAGAGAGTCCAGAAAAGCAAACAGATTGACAAATAGCACACACCACCAACGAAGAGTCAACTGGCCAGTTGGGTGAAGCAGGAGCAGCTGAAAAGTGAGGGGACAAGAAATCCTGGAAAATGCTGGGTCTCACTGTCACTAAGGCCCGTGGCCAGGAAGAGATGGGTAAGAAGGGCAGAGCTGGAGTGGGACAAAGGAGCTTGCCAAGCTTCTTGCTTGGGTTAGTTTTATGATGTCACTTCTAGGGCTGGGTTAATGTATGCCGGTCTCCCTGGGCTGACTCCACCTCGTAGATATGGGACTCGTCGTGAATAAATACTAAGTGTGTTCACAGGTGGGGAACAAGTCGGTAAAGTGAGCAGGCTGGTGACACTAGGCAGAGCAGGGAGACCGCAGAGCTTCCTCCAGTGAGTAGGGGGGTGACAGGGAGACTGGGTGTGGCATGGACACCTCTCTCTCTTCAAGCACGTGCCTCAAGCAGCCAGCTAGCTTCTCTACAGTTCAGAAGTTCAAAATGTGATAGGAAACCAAATGAACAGATGTCAGAAGAAAAGAAACTCCCGAAAGAGGGACCAGATTAAAGTCACCACTGTTGCTATAAATAATCACAGGGTACCCACTATGCACTGCCAAGGGAAGGAAGCATTTAACTTTGCCATGTGTCCTCCCTATGACCCACTGAGTGTCCCTTTCACAGACAGAAGCCCCAAAATAGGTGAAGGACCTATTTCAGGGGTTCCTGTTAGAGCAGGCAAAAAACTGGGGAGCTGAGAGGAAGCTTAAAACTTTCAAATGTGAACATTTCAGTAAGCAATCTCCAACGGCCATTGTTTAGTTATAAAATGAACCAGGAGGCAGGTGAGACGGCTCAGCAGCTAAAGACACTTACCATGCAGGTCTGACAAGCCGGGTTCAATCCCCAGGACCAACAGAAATGTGGAAGGACAGGACCAAGTCTGTAAGGTTGTCCTCTGATCTTCTAGTGTGCAGATCCCCTCCCCCAGACACACACACCAGAAAAGGTTGAGGGGCTGTAGCTCAGTGGTAGCGTGCTTGGATAGCCTGCTTGGATAGCATGCATGAAGCCCTGGGTTCAATCCCCAGTACCACAAACATGGGACACATGGATAACCCTTAGCTACATAGCAAGTTACTGCCTAGCCTGAGGTACATGAGTCTCATAGGAAGGGCATCTTGGGTCCTCAACTGACCACAGAGCCAAAGTGTAAAGTGATTACAAATACCCTTAGCTGTATCTCCATGACCCAAAGCTAACAAAGCCAAACTCACAGTGACAAACAGAGTTAGCCATCTCCTAGCTCAAATACCTGTCCTGAGTCTGGGGCTGCAGGGGGCAACCTTCAGACTGCAGAGTAAAACCAACAGTAATGGACTTGATTGGCCTGAGGAGGTAAAATGTGATTTCTGTGCCCAAGGCTCACGTCATGGGGCAGAATGGAACTCCCATTCCCTTGCCAGTAAAAGCCTCAGTGGGCAAAGGCTCAGCGGGACTGCTCCTCATCCTTCTCCCCGGTCCTCCCACACTGCCCTCTGTTGTAGCTTCCCTAACCATTTCTCTCTTCATTACCGCTTGCTTCTTCTGGTCCTTGAGTCTCTGTCTGGGAAGATGCTCCAAAAACGCAGCCCTGACCGTAGCCCCACTCATTCAAAGACTCGGGGATTTTCTAGTTCTTTAGTAACAGTGTCAGATAGGGTTAGGACTGGAAAGAAAAGCCAGTCTCCCCGAGTGGGCACCCTGGATGAAACTCAGCTGTGCGCTTCCTTGTGCTGTTGAGACTAGCCACACGTGGGAATGCTTTCCCACAGCAAATTCCTCTTCGTTTCCTGAGGGTCTGGTTCTTCCCTGGCCTGGAGTCCAGTTGCGTTTCCCATCATCAAGCAAGCTGGGTCCCTTGAATCAGTGACCACTGCCTGGGTCCCCTGAATCAGTGACCACTGCCTGGCAGTCTTGACTGGAACTAGTGGAACATTTGGGCCACGTGCTGGCTGGTTTTATGTCAACTTAACCCAAGCTAGTCATCTAAAAGGAGGGAACCTCAACTGAGAAAAAGCCTCCACAAGATCGGGGTGCAGGAAAGCCTATGGGCATTTTCTTAATTAGTAATTGATGTGGGAGGGCCCAGCCCACTGTGGGTGGAGCCATCCCTGGGCTGGCAGTCCTGGGTTCTATTAGAAAGCAGGCTGAGTAAGTCCAGGAGGGAAGCCAGTGAGCAGCACTCTTCCATGGCCTCTGCATCAGCTCCTGCCTCCAGGTTCCTGCAGTCACTACTTCTGAGATGAACTGTTAACTGGAATGTGAATGAAACAAGCCCTTTCCTCCTCCAACGGCTTTGCTGTTTCTTCACAGCAATAGTAACCCCATCTAGGACAGGCCACTGAGTGAAAAGCAGGTCTCTGACATTTCAAGTAAGGGCTGTGAAGCTAGCATTTCTCTTGATCATTTACCTCTTTCCAGACACACTTCTGGTACCCGCAGATGAGAACTTCAGCTACATTATGCAAAATGAAAAACACGGGAACAGCCTGAAAGCAAACAGAAACAAGCATGAGAATACACGCTCCCATTTCTCAGCTACTTGACTTTTGTTTAAAAATAAGATGTGTGGGAACATGAAGCATTCAGTCTCTCCAGCAGACTCTTTTGGACCAGCACTTTGCTGAGGTGTTCTTCATTTTCCCTCCCAGATTTACTTATTTATTCTCTTTATTCTCTGTGAGTACTTTCTCCACAAGCACATTTGTGTGCCACGTCCATGAAATACCAATGGAGGCCCGAAGAAGGCATCAGACTCAAACTGGAGGTACAGACGGTGGAAGCCACTATGTGGGTGCTAAGAACTGAACGTGGGTCCTCTGCAGGAGCAGCAGGTGCTCGTAACATTTGAGTTGTCTCTCTAGCCCTTAAAGTATTAGTTTTGGTGGGGTGTATGTCAAGGCTCCTCTCCGACAGGTTCTTCATACCAGGCGCAGGGCACAAATCCCATCAGCCTCACTCTACACTATGCTGCCCTGGTTCAGGAGGCTCGCTGGTGACCGAAGCTCTGGGAACACCTGTGTATTCATCATTCCCTCCACTGCTGTGACCAAACGCTCGACAAAAAGGAACCTGAGGGTTGATTCTGGCTCACAGTGTGAGGGGATCCCGCCCATCATGACTGATTGACAGGAACTTAGAGAGCAAGGGTTGATTCTGGCTCACAGTGTGAGGGGAGCCCACCCATCATGACTGGCTGACAGGAAGGAAGGCGTGTAGCACCATCACCATGATGCAGCTGGTCACACTGCCTCCGCAGTCTGTGTCTTAGTGACTGTTCTATTACCATGATAAGACACCATGACCACAGCAACTTATAATAAAAAGGGCTTGCTTCCTGTTGTTTGTTTCTGCTCTTTTGGGAGGTCAGCCACTCAGCTCCCAAACAAATCACACACAGAGGCTTATTTTTACTTATAAATGCCCAGCCTTAGCTTGGCTTAGTTTCTAGCCATCTTTTCTTAACTTTAAATTATCCCATCTATCTTTTGCCTCTGGGATTTTCCCTTTTTCTTACTTCTGTAACCTTCCTTTGTTTCTTACTTCACGGCTGGCTGTGCGGCTGTGCGGCTGTGTGACTGTGTGGCTGTGTGACTGTGTGGCTGTGTGGCTGTGTGGCTGTGTGGCTGTGCGGCTGTGCGGCTGTGTGGCTGTGTGGCTGTGTGGCTGTGTGACTGTGTGACTGTGTGGCTGTGTGACTGTGTGGCTGTGTGGCTGTGTGGCTGTGCGGCTGTGTGACTGTGTGGCTATGTGACTGTGTGGCTGTGTGGCTGTGCGACTGTGCGGCTGTGTGGCTGTGTGACTGTGTGACTGTGTGGCTGTGCGGCTGTGCGGCTGTGTGGCTGTGTGGCTGTGTGACTGTGTGACTGTGTGACTGTGTGGCTGTGTGGCTGTGTGACTATGTGGCTGTGTGACTGTGTGACTGTGTGACTGTGTGGCTGTGTGGCTGTGTGACTGTGTGGTTGGCCCCTGGAGTCCTCCTCCTTCTCTGGCTACTTCTTCTCTGATCTCTCCTCCCATATTTCTCCTTCTATTTATCCTCTCTGCCCGCCAGCTCCGCCTACTTCTCTCTCCTACCTCACTATTGACCGTTCAGCTCTTTATTAGACCATCAGGTATCTTAGACAGGCACAGTAACACAGCTTCACAGAGTTAAACAAATGCAACATGAACAAAGTAACACACCTTAAGATATTCTACTATAGTTTACATTTTCAGAGGGTTGGAGTCCTGACCATCATGGCAGGGAACATGGCAGCAGGCAGGCAGGCATGGAGGTGAAACAGCAGCCGAGAGCTCACATCTTGAGGCAACAACCATGAGGCAGAGAGAGCTAAATAAGAATGACATGGGCTTCTGAAACCCTAAAGCCCACCCACTCCAGTGACACACCTCCTCCAACAAGGCCACACCTCCTAGTCCTTCCCAAACAGTTCCACCAACTGGGGCCTAATCATTCAAACATATGAGACTATTGGGGTCATTCTCATTCAGACAAACACAGTCAAGAAAGACCCACCCCAGTGACCCACTTCCTTTAGCAAAGATCCACTTCCTAAAGGTTCTACAGCCTTCAAATACAGTGGCACCAGCTAGGGACCAAAAGTGTTTAGGCACATGAGTCTATAGGGGACATTCCACGTTCAAACCAAAACACTGCCCATTATTATTACCCTGACAGACTTAAATTCAGCAGGACCTACTTGGGTTAAATTAGAAAAAAAATATGATATATGGTAACAGTGAAAATAGTGGGTAGAATACACTGTTTACTACACACCAGACAACCACTGCTACATACTTAAGCTTCATAAGGATTCCGTGAGATAGATACCATTAACAACCCCATTATACAGATGAGAAAACTGAAGAACAGATTGTTTCTGTTTTTTAACCTGCATCTTAATCACTGGAAACCACTTTTTCTGAGTTATCATTTAATTGGCAAGGCCTGAAACAAAGGCATACACAGTGAGCAAGACCTACTGCTGAGCCACACCCCCAGCTGAGACCACTCACAGATGCTCATACTAGACATTTGTTTTACCTAAAGAGGACTGAAAGAGTTAACTTCACATCCTTATGACCCTGGGGATGATCTCAACAACACAAGTTCCTATCATCAGCCACCATAAAGCCCAACTCATGATTCTGGAAACAAATCTGCCAAGTGTAACTGATCACATTGTACTGCAGGCCACTTCATTTAATTACGTGGGTGTACAATCCACAACTAAGTATTTAATACTTCACCCACATGCAAATGAAATTCTTCGATATGAAGATAAATTGTTAACTATGAACTTAGAAATTTGTCATTATTCCCATGCTTCCTAGAATACAATTTTGAAGTCTTAGAAAAATTTCCCACAGAAAACCCTGGTCTGCCCCCAGGAAAGGCCTTTGGTCAATCTACAGAGGTATGGATGACCCTCAGTCAAGCTTCTGATGACTGATAACCCTGGCTAGCTTCTTTTTTTATTAGTATTATTACATTTTAGTTATTTCTGTGCATGTAGGGAGTGGGTGAGTGTGGACACATGGTATGCATGTAGAGATCAAAGGACAGTCTACAGGAGTCGATTCTCTCTTTCCACTGAGTGGATCCCAGGGATTGAACTCAGGTCCTCAGGCTTATCAGCAGGAACATTTACCTGCTGAGTTATTTCACTGGCTCCCTGACTCGGCCTCTTAATTTCTGTAAAAGAATGCAGTCCTGTTCCCTCTCTTTAGATGATTTTTTTTAAATATACAGATGTCCTTAATGCATTATGTAAAATAACTGCACTCAGGCAGGCCCCCTCCACAGAAAGTAACCTTGAGATACTCATTTTTGAAGACTGCATCTTACACTGTAGCCCAGGCTAGCTCATAATTCACTATGTATCCAAGAATGGCTTTTAATTCTTGGCAATCCTCCTGCCTCAGCCTCCTGAATGTTAGAATTACATGTATGAGTCACTACAGCTGGCAATTTTTAGGGTTTGGTTTTTTTTTTTATGGACCACCACAGTTTTCCACAGCAGCCATACTATCTCCAGTTTCTGACAGTATTGCCCGAGCATCCAGATTTCACCATGTCCTTACCAGCACTTGTGACTGATAAGTCATCCTGATGGGAATGAAGTAGTGTCACCAGTAGTTAATATTTGCATTTTTTTTTTTTACAAATTATACTTAACATTTGTGAATGCTTTCCCTACATATGTATCTCTGGACACATGCATGCCTGGTGCCTGTGGCGTGCTCAGTCACACATGGCACCTCTCTCACATCCCCTCTGCACAAAACTTGGGGACCGTCGCTGAAGAAGGAGCCAGAGGCCAGGAAAGACTGGATCGAAAGAGTGTCTCTGGACACGACAGGCCTATTGCACTTACAAACCCGCAGCAGCTGTGGCTGATGCCTAAGATGAGCCAGTGAACATCCCAGCCTGGAGGCGGAAGTGGCCCACCCGTATGAGGAGCTACTGACAGCAGATGGCCTCTAGTAGGCTATGGGACCTGAGGGGCTGACACAACCTCACGAGCACCCGTCAGTGCATGGGCAGCACAAATTAAACTCGGCAGGTCATTTTTTTTTAATTTCACATGTATGACTGTTTTGCCTACATGTATGTCTCTATACCATGTTTGTATAGTGACTGAGGAGGTCAGAAGAGGCATCAGATCCCCAGGAACTGGAGTTATAGAGAGCTATGAGCCACCGTGTGGGTGCTGGAAATCAAACCTATGTCCTCTGGAAGAGCAGCCAGTACGCTTAACAACTGAGCTATCATGCCAGCCCCTTGGTGAGTTTTTTTTTTTTAAATAAAATTAAATTTAAAAAGACATGAAGCTGGAGGGGGTTGGGAGTTTGGTTCTAGGAGGAGTTGGAGGAGTGGAGTAATTATGATCAAAATACCTTGTATACATTTTTGAAAATCTTAAGGATTTAATAAAAATACTATATTTTTTTAAAAAAGAACTGGGTATATAGCTTAGTGGGGGACTGTTTGCTTAGCCCTGTGCAAGGCCCTGGGTTCAATCATCAGCACACAGAAGGAAGAAGGGCAGGAAAGAGGGAGGAAGTGAAGAAGGGAGAGACATGAGTGTAGGCAGAAGTTTCTCTCCTGCCTGCCTGTTCCCAAATACCCAGCAGCTGCTGCCCAAATAACTGACTCAGAGGCTTAATATTACTTCTAAATGCTCAGCTGGTAGCTCAGGCTTATTACTAACTAGCTCTTATGCTTAACTCGACCCATCATTCTTATCTATGGTTAACCACGTGGCTTGGTACCTTTTCTCATCGTGCTTCCTCTGCGTCTGACTGTCCACACCTGGCTCCGCCTCCTCCTTCCCAGCATTCTCAGTTCGGCTTTCCCACCTAACTTCCTGCCCAGCTACTGGCCAATCAGTGTTTTATTAAACCAATTGTGTGATAAATCTTTACAGTGTACAAGAGGATTATTGCCCAGCACATGAGGGCCGCCTCCACTGGGCAGTTCCAG